CGAGATGACAAAAAAAAAAAAGAAAAAAGAGGGTGGAAAAAAAAAAAAAAAAGCTGGTGTATTCATCTTCTATAACGTTAAGGCTTCCCCTGAGTGTCACTAGAAGGGGGGGGGGGTTGGTGGAAATCAAAGTTTCCAACCCAAAAAGGAGGTGGTTGGAATGGGGCACCTTTTTTTCCACCATTTCGACCTCAGTGGGGAGCAGTTTGACTCCCACCTCCGCCTGCCCAACCTGTTCCCCTGCCCATGGGGACGAGTTTTTGGGGGGCTTGGGTTTAAAAAGGGGATTCCCCCCCTCCCCCAAAAATAATATCCATTCGGGCGAACTTCAATTTTAATTTGCTTTTTCTCCCCCTCCCTTTTATTTCTTTTAATCCTCCCCCTTTCTCTGCCCAGGGATTTCTAGAAAGAAAAAGGGAAAAATAAAGATACAAGGGAAGAAATGCGATTTTTTTTTTTGGGGGGTGGAGGGTGTTTTTGTGGTTATTCATGTTATGAATTGTTATATTTCCCCCCCACCCCCAGGCAGGGCAGATTTGGGGATGTCTTGGAAATATTTGGAGCCCTGGGCTAAATCTTCTGGATTTCCCTTCTTATTTATCCCCCCCAAAAAAAATCAACCCACCCCATTCCCGGTGCTTCCAGGGACAGGGTGACTTTGGAAACCACCAGTGCCCAGTCAAGCTGTTGCCAGATATGAAACGGTTGGGAAAGGTTCACCAACTGGACTTGGAGGGAAGGAGGTGGATGGATGAGGGTTCTGCAGTTCTTGGCGTGTTGTCTCTACCTTCTGTGTCGCTTCAAGCCCGGAGTCATTTGGCGAGTAAATTAAAAGTAGCTACAGCTGGAGGGGTTGGACCTTGCCTGGGGCAAATACTTGGGAACCTGCACCTATGGGAGGGTATTTTATTCCCCGACACCCCCTCTTTTTTTCCCCACCAACCTTGCTAAAGTTTGGAGGAGTTTCTGGAAGGACTTTTTGGCGATTTAATTTTTTTTAATCCGCATTTTTAATTTATTTTTTTAAGCCATATTCTTCCTTTTAATTTTTATTTTCTTTTTTTTATCCTTTTTTTTTTTTCCCCCCTTTTTAACTCTGTATTTTGTGTAGGTGCTCGGGGGGCTGTTGTAGCAGAGACCTGTGTGATAACCGTGTGACGAGGAGTCGAGCAAGTTAAGTGTTTTATGACTTCTCTAAACAGAGGGCAAGTCTTAAAAGTCTGGTCGATTTATAGTGAACAGAAACCAGCTGCCGTAAAGCAACTTAAAATAGAATCCTCTCCCCACGTTCCAAAAAAAATATATAAAATAATCAGATTTAAGGGGGAGAAAAAAGAGGGGGTGGAAGGAAAAAAAAACAAAAAACAACAAACAACTCAAACAACCCCCCCAAAAAAATAAAAGCAGCTTGGAAATACAAATTCAAGCATCATGAAAATCGGTTTTCCTCCCCGCCATCCCTCAGCCTCACGTTTGGAGTGCACTGGGCAGACATCAAGATATTATTCCTCCTCCCCCCTCCACACACACGCACTGATATTTTGGGGCAGTTTGACGATTTCTCCCCAAACCCAAGACGTGCCAAGAAAATATCTTTACATTTCCCACACCCCCCACCCCCTAAACCTCCTCCCTCCATGAAAACAGGCAGAGGGGGGAATATCTGGGGCTCTTGCTGGTTAAATTGGTCTGCAAACAATTATGTAAACTCATCAGCAGAAGCAAGAACAGATGTTTTATTAAAAGTGCTACACAGCAGTAGAAATATGTACAAGTCTTCGAGTAGCTCTTTAATAGGAGTTGCTCTTTGTTCCCAGAAAAGCGCCCATAGAAAGCTGAAATAACATATTTCTTCACCCCCCCCCTTTTTATTTTTGGCTCTCACC